TACAATAGACAGATGCCTGGGCTAGTTGGTGATTGGGAATCAACATATTTGTACAGCGCAAGACTACGCAGTTAATCAAGACTTCTGTAGTTAGGTCATAACTACTCGTAGTCTTGCGCTGTGCAATTATGAAGATCCCATAGCCTTTATGCCAGCACGTTCAAGTAATTGGCTTCAATGTTTTTAATACGTGCAGATTTACAAGGCTAAATGAGAGTGTCACATGCTTGCCACAATTTTTTTCTTTATTACAAAGAAAAAAACATCCATCATTGAGGAAAGCATGAATCATGCAGAGCTATAAGGCATTGCATGACAGTACAAGTCTCCATATAGAAAACTGTGTGTAATCCAAAAACCATGTACAAATTCACAATACACAACCACAACGCTCAACTTTGCTTCCACTCTTAAAATCTTACCAACACATACAGCACATGTATACTGGTGACCGCAAGGCATATTGCAGGTATTTATTTATATTGCTTGCACAAACCAAGCTTAAAGGAGGATATGTAATGAAGGAAAAAATGGTCCCTTTTGCTGTACATAAAAAAAAGTAAATAATGAAAAGCTTCCAGAAAGCTTCACTAGCCCCAGACAATGAATGGTGCTATGTGCCCCTCAAAAATTTGTTCAAACTTGGCATCAAATAAAAAAGCTTACAACATAAAAAAAAAACTAAACCAACTGAGCTGCATTGGCTTAGGACTTACACATTTGTTCCTTGAATGAAAAACGTTTTGGACAGTTTCAATGGGAGACAAAACTACATTGCTCGCTTTGCTCTGGTCAGAGGAAATGAGTACTTGGGAAACATGAACAAAAAAGTACAGACAATACACATATACGATATGCCACTTGTCATTAGAATAAACAGAACCACAGTGAACAAGATGCAAGGAAACCCATACCCCAAACAAGAAATAAACGACAGCCACATGTCATTCCACAGCTTGATCTGCTGTTAAACGAATCCCTTCATTCCTCGCAATAGCTTTTCGAGAATGGTAATTTCTGCAAACTTTTCATAAAAAGACAAAAAAAGAAACATTAGTCAACAAGTATGCTCACGAACACTCGGCAATATGCACATGATATTTGCACAACTTCTTGTTTTCAACGACACAGGGATGCCGGCAATCTGTTACAAAACACGCATCTAAAAATGCATCACCCTGTCTGTGAGATATGATTAGCATGTAACAGAGCCAGTAGGCAGTTCCTTGCCATTCTTCATCACCCAATATCAATGCTCACAGGAACTCCCGCAAGTGAATTCCCGCTGAGATTTGTCACGCAGTCTTGTACAACCTTGCTTCCTACTTTTGAGCACTGGCAGGTTAGTTTTTGTATATAAGGCAAAGAAGGCATGTCTCTCCCACATGCTTAAAGATGTCTCAAAATACGCTGGGTAATATTCATGGAGTCACGGTAGTTGTGCCTTAATGAAATGAAACGGAACACATCAACTATCAAAATGTAATAACAACATGGAGAACTATACATATGTCACTGGGAGAACAACGACCTCACTGCTTCGCGATGCCAATTATTCCTTTCACTTTTGGCATTTGTGCAGCATACCAGTTTTAAAAACTCAGCACAATATTACAATATGATGTGTACGGCATAACAGCCAGAGCTTTTCGAGAAAGCTGTGTTGGGAATGTTCGGATACTGGTCACACATCCCGGAGGATGGAAATTTGTGTGAAAACCACAATAGAGCTAGAAGCTTAGCTCTGGAGCCCACAAAACATGCACCACTTGGTCCTTGATTATTGCTTGGATACACGAATGAGAATGAGTTTATGAAAGTAAAGAAACCTTGCCACCTACCATGAACGATTTTCAAGGACAGCAGCTCTCACCAGGATGCAGCATACATCGTAACAAGTTCAATCGCTCATTGCAGACGTAGAACCAAAGCAAACATTTCCTCCAAACATTCAAAGTCTTTACCTAATTGCAAGACAAGTGCACTACATGGTAAATGATAACATGAACTAATCTCCGCACCCACTTTTTCGGTATTGCAGGTACTGAGAATTTGATGAGACACACACCAAAGGCTTTTGAGATTAAGACTACCTATATGAATCACATTCCACACCCTCTTTTTGAAGTATGAAATATCACACTATCCAAAACATGGCTGTAACTTTGGAAAAAGTGGCAGTGTTCGTGGAAGGCCTACCTGAAATTAGAAGGTTGATGATGGAAGTGCCCTCAACACCTTTCGACAGTGATATGAGGTGTTAAAATGACTAAAGATCGTAGAATCTACACATCCAACAGCTACTCCAGGGCCAGCTGAAGTCACAGCACAGTCAGTCACACAATGCACACATGTTAGACAAGAAAAAGAACATCTGGATTGTCTCCACTTTGTTTGTTGCTCTATGAACCTATTTCAGCTTTTCCCACTGCAGTCTCACTTCTTACAGCTAATTCGTAACTTAATTATAAGAGCTAACACTAATTCAAGTCAAGTCTAAGCATAAATCAAGTGAGAGCATTAGTTTAGTGTTTTCATACACCAGGTAATCTCCTCCCCCAACCAGCAGAAAAATTGTGAATGGCAACAGTACTAAGTCACTAAAATGAAATATAAAAAAGCAAAGGAGTGCTTCTGAGTTCTAATGCCATTTTTACTGGCAGTGAAACCAATGGCCGAACATTGCAGAGGTGCTACACTTCCTTGAAGCCCCAGCACTAAATTAAACAAAGCATCAGAAGAACTTGTTTTGCTCAACTAAATGAATGTCAACTCATCAAGCTCCGGTGAGCTACAACTACACTCATACAAGGTTCCAGAATGATGGATGGGTTCACTCTTTCTTCGCAGAACTGTGCACACACATACTAACAGTTGCCTGAAACAGTCTATGACATGTCTTCGCTATGAGATATGACTTGTTTATGACTTTGAAACAACCATGACAACCACAGCACAGAGAGAGCTATCTTGACACTTTGGCTCATGGAGTGATCAGGCAAGGGCACGAGACCCATTTGGAGAAAATGTGAGCTATCCAACAGGCTCTTAAAAGAGGTGAATTTGATAAGCAATATTTGTTCTATTCGTCAAAACGTTTCGTGGTATTACAGAGCAGCTGCTTTCATGTCTGCAACTGCAGCATCTCAGCAAATGGGCATGCGCAGTACCAGGTCAAAACCAGCTGCCTTATTTGAACATGTCAATTCGTGTGACAAAATATCAGATCCTGACCACTCCGAGGCATCTACAGTTATGCATCTCTTCATTCCTTGCACATCCATATATTACCAAACAGCTTCTTTCTTGCAAACATCAAACACTTGATAGAGCAAGAGCAAATGAAAGTGCCTCAAGTGAGTGTATTCTAGACAGCTTTGTGACCATAACACAGAGTGCATTGTTACAACATGGAAAGTATTGCAAACTCAGGAAAGGAATGTGCCCTTTACATTGGAGCACGAACTACTACCATAGTTCATGTTTGGAGTTGATCCTTGAGTTTATTATCACCATCAACTGAAAGTCATTGCCGATCTGATATCCACTAGTGATGCTAGAAATTATGCTCTAAATTTTCTTTTTGTCTTCTTGCATATTTTAATTTACAGTTTAGTGACCTTTTAAAGTCTGCAAAGGAAGAACAAGCAAGAAAGGTTCGTGCACTCATAATAACGAAGCATCAGTACATCACCAAAAAGAATGTGTCCGTTCTGCACACTTTTCTCACGCTGCTCCCTCGCAGCTTCCGCAGTGGCGATTAGGTTTAAAGAAAGAAAGATTGCTTCGTCTGGCACAATGATTAAAGCACTGCTAACAAAGGCCAGTGAGTGAATTCGCATTTCCCGGTTGGGTGCCGATGGCTACTCCGCATTCTCTCATGCCATCCTCGCCATGACCAAGGCACGCCAATTCATATCACTTGCCCCTCACAGAGCCATCCAGAGGCTGCGCCACGGATGGAGAGAAAAAAAAAAAACCCCGGTTTCTGCAACGGCCGAATAGCTGTCTCGACGCCCACTAGTAATCAGCGCGCACTGAATTTCCGTCGCGTGCGCTGGCTTCGGAGAAGTGTGTAGGCTGTCCCCCTACGATACGAACGTTTAGTGGCAAGCCAAGAGCCTTGCGTAGGCGCGTTCGCCCGGCGGGTCAGAAGGAGCTGCGCGTGACGCCAGGCTAAGCACGATTCACCGTCAGTCGGCTACCTTGGGCGCAAGAAATCCTTGACGCCATTGCGTCATCCAAAAAGAACATCATGCGTCTCGTGAAGGGCCCCCGCTTCCGCGTAGTGAGCGCGGTCTGCGTCGCTCGCATCCTCTCCCTCGCCGAGCACGTTGCAGCGAGCACGGCGCTAAGGCTGATTGCGATCTCGCACACGGATTCATTAAACGACACCGAACAAGGGAAACTGCGGCGGATGCCGTGCTGCTGCATGCTTTTTAGGCCTAGCCGCTGAATCGCTCTCGGCGTCCTGTCCGGGACAATGAGTATGGCAGAACAGGATGCGGGGGCCCGGGACGGCGGCGGGAAACGAGACCCCAGGTGCGACAAGAAAAGACGTCTTTCAATTTCTTTTTTTGTCACTTTGAACTTATTCACGCATTCAAAACGGTTCTGTGTGCCTCTATACCAGTGAACTGCGATGACGAAGAAGACACGTAAACGAAAAAAAAAAAAAAAACTGAAAAGAAAACGGCTGACGGAACGGATGGAAAACTGTACGAAGGGCAGAGGGGTTGGGTGAAAAGCGAGGCAAAATAAAAGTCACGCCGCGTCCCAGATGTGCTGGAAAACTGCGTGAAGTGAACCCTACCAAGACAGCGTCACGCAAGGGGGCCCTTACAAAAGGTCGGCAACGAAGAAAACAACACACAAACTAAATCACGCACCTTTGTATTGCCAGGGCGAAACTTTTATTTTTTTTTTTACTTTTTGGCACGGAGCAATGACTGCTAAATCACGAAGCGAAGTACTGCACGTTTTTTTTTTTTTTTTTTTCGGTCAGTGCATGTAGGCGAAATCTTTGGTCACCCTTCAGAATCATGCGTTCTTCCTAGTTTTGAGGAAAGGTCGCGCGCGAGAATTAAAAAAGAAAGACGGCAGCCTAGCGTAACTATGAAGGCGACGCAAACGTTTGCACGGCATTCGCCAATGGAAACGGTAAAACTACCGAGTCAATTGTTTTCGGGACATCAACGATATCTTGAGGGCACTGAACGAGAAGCTGAAAACATAGCGACTTGGAAGAGCGCTATTTGAAGGAGAATTATAAGCACGCTGTTCCGATTTTGTATATTAGATTACTATATTTTTTTTTCTTTAATTCCAAGAGCAGCCGCGCCGGCAGCTGCTTCTCGGCGTGACGTCGCCACTGACACAGTATTGCATGTTTTAGTTTGTATTTCCTATATTTTTGCGGTGACCCGTCACGGAAACAATTCTGTTCAACCACTGCACACGGCCACGCAGAGACCGAGATAGAAACAAAGGCGAAACGAACGAAACAAAAGGAACGCGCTACCGCATACACCTTGGCAGAACGTCGCTATCTGGGAATCGCCACCACAAGTAACTATATGCGGTAACAGTCAACTGAACCAGCTCCTGTCGAGTGATAAGCGAGTACAATGAGGCTACTGCCTTTATGGTAAGTCTCTACGTCAGTCAAACAGATGAGATTGGTCGAGCAACTAGCACGAAAAACGGCTCGCGCAAGACGACATGGCGAGGCGAACGTGTTTTTTTTTTAAATCATTTTAATCTACCAGGAACAGTAAAAGAACAGCGTTCACCCTTATGATCGTTCTTGTGTCCTAACGGTCGCTGGCTACAACGCGAGCATCGCGTCCCAAAGGCGGCGCCGCTGAAAGGACGTTTCGGCGCCATGGAATGCGCGGGCCCAGCAACGGTGCGCGCCTCGTATATCGATCTCCGCTTGGCAGTGTCAGGTGAGCTAGCAATGGCGACGACAGGATGCAACCCGAGAATTCGGTAGCGGTATCACGCCGCTAACGGGGCCAGGGTGAGCGAATGTATAAGGCACTGGATAGCGCGACAGCCGGTAGCGCCGCGAATGATTTCCCTGTGAGCAATGTCTACTTTCAAACGCGGCGGAACAGCCTAAACGTAGCGACACACTAACCTCAAAACCTTCGTTTTCGAAAAGCTTCGTTCGCGATATCGACCGCTGTCAACGCTTCAAGCGAATGCCCCCAAGTGATTCGGGAAGCGTTTCCTGTTGTTACGCGATGCACCGGAACTTTGTCCATTCTGCATTTTTCTAGAACACTTTCGCGAGTAAAGTGAGCAGTGTAAAAACGCTTATAAAGATCGTAATGGAAAACTGCACCTACATTGTACAAAAAACTGCTTGATATGAATGTAGAAAATTCTATACGAACCCTATAGACGACACATCACAACGACGACAACTGGGGATAGGTAATCAATCAGACGAGCTCGAGGCTTTTGCCTTCCAAGTGTTTCTCTAGGTCTGAGATGAGGTCCCTGTAGTGGACGGGGTCCAGGTTCTTGGCGAGCAAATCGAGCAGGAACCACTCGCCCACTTTGCAGCGGTCCAGCACGCGTTCCAGGTAGGTGACGTTCACGAGACGCGCCCGGGACTTGAGCACGTGAAACCTGGCCGGAGCCCAGATGAACAGCACCGTGCGGTACACAATCACGAGACCGGAGAGCACTGCGAGGATGACGAACCAGAACCAAAGGAACACGTAGATCTTCTCGTTGATGATGTTGATGGGCAGGATGCACATGGCGTCGTGCTTCTGCACGTCGCCGGACGAACCGTACATGTGAAAGGTGCACTTGGTTAGTCGCGGGAAGACCTTGATCATGGGGTCGAAGCGCACCGACCAATCCCACTCGGTGAACTCGAGCACCTTGGTGCCGTAAGTCGAGAACTCGCCGCCCAGGAAGTCATCCATGAGGTAGATCTGACCGATGACGTTGACGAAGTTGAGGATCTCGCAGAGGAAGTAGTAGAAGGTGTACATTTTATGGTGACCGATGTGGTTCATGAAATACTCGACCAGAAGCTTGCGGCTACTCTTGCGCTTGTCGTCGCACAGAATAGGTGAGTTGAGGTCGAGCACGAGCGTGCTGATCTTGTTGCCCTCGCAGGCGATCCACAAGTAGCGAGGCACGTAAAACAGCACCGCTTGAAAGAACAGCACGAAGCACACCCACTGATAATAGCCGTGGTACACTCGCTGCTCGCCCGGAGTGTACTTGTCCACGCCCGGGTAGGGTACTTGGACGCCGACCTTCTTGTTCCAGGCATCCTTGACGCTGAACGTCGAGTGGATCCAACAAAAGGTGTCCAATACTCTCGTCGGCACGCTGTCTTTGCTAATGCAGTCGATCGGGTCACCGATGTACTGCCGACTCGTGACCAGGATGCTGAAGGCGATCAGAAGAGCGCACGTCACTTTGTAGTGCAACCGAAACACATGGTTGTCGGTGACGATCGTTTCGATCTTGATGAGACTCTTCAGTCCTCCGAATATTTTATCCATGGCTGGCAAGGCTTCGTTTTCGGCGGCGGCCGCCTAAAAGAAAGAAGGCACAGTTGTTTCGTTCGTTGCTGAAGCGGCGCGGCGACGCACAAGAAGCACGCTTGCCGCCGACTGCGAGACAAAAAGGGCGATGCGAGGCTTTCCCTTCCGCGCAGTACGCAAACCGCCGTACGCCGAAGCGACGCAGCTGTCAAAAGAGAACGGCCTCGCCGGCGAGCAGCGGACAAGTTGGCGCGCCGCGTACCCGCACGCAACCAACCATGACGCTCTTCGAATGCCCACGTGACCAGCGACAACCAATCGAGATCAGGCGAGAAGCGCGCCTCGTTTTGAACTTTCGTGCGTTCCAAGCGCGTCGCCCGCTTCCTCCTCTCTCGGGAGAACATACAGAAAGGCAGAGGCTGTTGTCTGAGGGAGGACGAGACGGCCCGAACCTTTCTAGTCAGCGGGGTTCCCCCCGACCCACACGAGGAGGGCAAATGAAGGGGGGGTGCGGCTGATGGGGGGGTTAGCTCGGAGGATACTGTAGGACAATCTGGTGCTCTCTCTCTTCCCTGGAAATGGCGTCCGCCGACTGCGTGGTTTTCGGACGACGGAGAGGGCGGGCGAAACGGAGGGGTCGTCCACCAACTTTCCAGCGGTTTGCCCGCGCTTGGGGGCCTCGCCGATGGTTTGTTGCCGCCCGCTCGTTGCGTGGCGCGGGTCGATTTCGTCACTTGGAAACGGCCTGACAAAACGTGCATTAAAGCGCCGATAGCACGTGTGACGTTTCGGCGTGCGTTGGCTTGAGCGCCGAGGCAATCGTCTCGGCGCCATTCGTTAAAACAACGCGCCGTGTCTCCTCGCCAAGCGATGCGTAACCAAGGTCGTAAGAAGAGCACACGCAGAGCCCGAGAAATTCCGTGCTGGCGAACTGTCGGCTGCGGCGGAGCGGGCCGTCACCACGTCGCTTCTTGCGGGCGGGACCGTTCTTGGGGCGTTGTTTGTTTTGGTGCCCCGGTCACACGACCGCATTTCTTCGGCATCGTTGATGCGCCCAAGTTTGATAAGGCACGTGCAAGTGGCGGCGTCGAGCGATGGAATCATAAACATGGTTGCATGTTTCGTTTCGCGTAAGTTTTACAGATGGATACTTAATAAGATGGAGAAGCAAACATGACCGTTTGTCGACACCTGTCAGCTGAAGAGTAGCAGTGTTATTTCAGCTGGTGTCTGTCAAACTGTCGAAGCTGCCTTGTGGAAAACCGTTTTGATACCTGTTGCAATGACGCTCGCGATTTTGCCATCTGTTCATCCGGCGTTGGAAATTGCGTAGCAACGCCAATGAACCAACAGTTGACGTAGCACGAAAGCGCGTAGTAACACTGAAGAATGCGTATATGACTCATGAAGCATCGTAGAGATGTCACGAGCCCTTTTCGAAATCAAAAACCACGTTCGCACTGCTTCAAAGAGCACGCTAAAACGTTTTATATTTGTGCGAATAAATGTCTGGTATCTCTCTGCAGTGGGTTGCACATATTAATAAGTATTAGGCAAGACGCATCATTTTTGTTCAGCATATGCCGTTGAAGGCTCCCGTACCTTTCATTCAGATAACGTATCGCTGCAAAAAATATTAAGTGACTCCGAGGAACATGTTAAATGAGTAGCCACGTGTTCTCAGCGTAGCTTGGGGGTTTCACTGATCTGAATGTGGTAGTCCACTTAGTGCTAGCATTACAGCTTTGAGCGCGAAAACTTTGTTTTACTTGCAGATTTTAATAATAATTGTAGGAGTTTAACGTCCCAAAACCACGACATGATTATGAGAAACGCCGTAGTGGAATGCTCCGGAAACGCCGAAGTGGAAGGCCCCGGAGACACAGCAAAGTAACAAATGAGACGCTTATAGCGTGAATCCATATCTTTAAGTACGTTTTGTGCGTCATTTGTGTGTGAGGAACACGGGCCATGTTTCGATATGCTTTCCATTCCGCGCGTGACCTTTCAATTTGTTGCTATCACGTTCATTGCTTCTTCGCCTTTCCGGTAAAGCTGTGACTTTTTTTTTTTTTTTAAGCTAAGCTCCATAGGTTTTCACGATGTCCATTGACGCCTTCATTGTCGTACATGTTCCCGTCGGACTGAAACACAAGTGTGACATATATCGCATATAAAGCGTTCATAGCGCGCATATACGTTTAAAATAGACCGCGGTCCATCTGTCTGTCCGTAAATCCATCCGTCCGCGCATCTTTCCGTGCAATCTTCCACCCATATGTCCGTCCTTTATACTAGTCGGTGACTTGAACGCAGACATTGTGGACCTTAGTACCTAGCATTCATCATCGGCTTCCACTTCATGAATCTGCAGTAACTTTTGTCCTTCTTATTCGTTTCTTTTTGTACTAACCCCGTCAGCAAAGTTTACTATTTTACGTCAACCTTCGGCCAAACGTTGCCGAACCACCATTGCAAATTTCTCTATAGTAGTATGGTGTGGGACACGCACTTGAGATGAAATTATGAGCAAGTTATCCGCCCGTACACATGCCTCTACTCTCATTACGAAACGATAGGCGAAACTAAACGGGTTAACTCTCAGCGCCAGGCCTATTATGATCGTCAGCAAAGTGATAGTTATCAATACAGATTTCGGGCTCATAAAAGAAAATACCATGGCACTGCCACGTTCTGCGGCTTCTAAAATGCTCCTCGTAATATCAATAGCTGTAGACAAAGGTGGTACCAGTGGTGTGGACAGGAAGGGAGGTTTCAATATCCCCCTTATGAATTTTTAAAATTTTTATTCATATACGTACAAAGTCATGCGCAAAAACACACAAGACAAAAAACCCCTCCCTCGCCGCCACATCCCCCCCCCCCCAAAAAAAAATTGTGGCTACGCTACTGAAGGCGTCTAAAAGCAACGACCTGCGGCCACGAAAACGGGTGATAATTAATTTTGAAAAAGCCTTACACATCTGTTGCTTTTTTTAACCTGTTGGTACATATACATCAACATTACACGCCATGCACTACATGTGTATACACGCAGTTTTATGTGCTGAGTTTACTTCTTGAGCACAGCGCACGAATAGAATGAGGTGCTAAAGTCTAATAACAAACCCGTCACGCTTTTCTTCTTGACATGCATGTGTGGGCACAAGATGACGCCTTCTTTTATCCCCCCGTATGCGTCGTCATTGCTCTGCTTCTGATCATAGAGGTCTCAGAGAGGGCAGTCGGAAAAGTAGAAAGTGCTTCAGTAAAGCCCCCCCCCCCCCCCTTCACACACACACACACACACAACTCCCTTTATTCGATGACCATGCGCAATTTTGTACAGAGGCATCACATTCGCCTCCAGCAAAAACAATGCTGTATGATCAGTCTTGCATCACACATGTCGCTTGGAAAACTCCATCGTTGTATTTGAATGCCATGTAGCTCGGCAAGAAACGAACAAAACATTCAGTTAGGAATATTAAATTTGGAGTAGTGGTACACGTATCCCACATCCGTGTACTTGCTAACTGCAGAAGATTTTCGTAAATTCCGTGAAACATCAAAACAATCATGTTGTTTATAGGCTTGCCCGGGCAAGAGTGTGCCCTAGTTGGTAAGGTGTCCGCAGGATTCCAACGAAGTTTTACAAGGCAACTTAGTCCTATAGTATTCTCGGAATAAGAAGCTTAAGATTCCCGATATTATGACTCGAACGGTAATCACTATTGATTGCAGCTCTCCGTAGACGGCAGGCCAGGTAAAAAACTGCGCATGCTGCCGCAACGAACGAACAAACTATACAGCAAACTATCGCAGAGGTGTGCACAGACGCCTTTTCGTTTTTGTCAAGCTATTTGCCACCATCAAGTTAGACCTCACAATGAGCCAATTAGCTTAGGTGAGCGCAACGACTACTGCTTTTCGAACTCGTTAAGCACTGACAAGTGACACCGCGGCCGTCCCTGTCTTCTTGGGGACGCCTCGTGAAGCTGTAGTCAAGCCACAAAGCTGTCGTCGAGATGTCTCGTGTCCCCTCTCGGTCGTAGCGGCAGGAAATATTTACGACTCCCGGTTTTCAACAGCCCTGCTTTTCTTTTAAGCCATAATTGTCAGGCAGACAGTGAATCCATGTGCTGCTTTTCTTTTCTTGCACAAAATGAAAGCGTCGTCGTGCGATAAATTTCTGCGCGTGTACAGTGGCGTTCGCGTCTGTGAACACGAGCGAAACTCTCGGAGACACCATGGCAGATATACGGTATTGCTAAAGTTTTTACAAGACCACAAGTGTGAATGTAAAAAGTTGATCATTCCTAAGCTGGAACTCTGACTTCAACATGGTGATTTCCCCACTGCGGAGTCTGCCGTTCGGTGAATGTGAAGCAAGCGTGGACGTAATGAGAGAAAGGGGGGTGGGGGGAGAGAATAAGGATAGACGAAAATTGGACACTTTCGGCAAAGCGCTGTGTTTTCGGTACGTGTTGTCAGAAGATCGTCCATGAGTATGGTCTATACGCTTCGGAATTTAATGCAATCTGCTGTGGGAAAAGTTGTGTCATTAAGGAAAAATTAAGACACATATGGTAAGTGGTAACCCGAAAAGGGAATTCCCCTTCTTAACATTTCGTGTTCAGATAAGCCATGCTTCAGCACTCATTGAGTTCGCTCGTTGTCCCAACGTAATGTCGAAATCCTATAGGTTGCCATGTATTTCCCGAAACGTCAGGGGGGGGGGGGGTAGAAATTCTTGTTTTAAACCTCCCCAAACGCCTAATGGAAGTTTGCCAACCTACACTTACACGTTTATATATGCGAGAACTTTATATAAGCGAAAACATTCCATAGCTTATGAATATGGCTCATAAAAAAGAAAGAAATCTGGACTTCAACATAAAGGGCGTTAACACGAATGGTACCAAACGCCGATGATTTATTGTGTCTCACGACGGCATATAAGCTTTCATCTGTGATCTCCACATGAAATGAAGGAAGTGTCATTTTTTTTCTTAATGAACTTAGACTGAGTGGACTTGTCTGCGGCTTTCCCGCGAATTCGGTAAACTCCCGTCATCGAGGAATGAAGGGGAGCTGGCCGTTCATTATGCTGCACACGGAACAACAAAATAATACTTTCAGGATCTCTTAGGCATCTACTTCAGTGAACACGAAGGTGAAATCCACTCTTTTTTTGTCATCTAAATA